CGGCACTGCAGCCGCTCGGACCCGCGGGGTCAGAGAGACCCAAGTCATCCCTTGGATGAGTGTCTGTTCGGCCCGGCCCCAGAGCTGAGCCCACCCAATTACTGGGGCCCCGCACCCTCCCCAGCCCAGCATCTCAGGGAGCCCAACCCGGACCCGGGCTCACCCCTCCCACATCCATCTCTTGCAGCCGATGACTGCAGCTCCCACTGTGACCTGACCCACGGCTGCTGTGCACCTGACGGCTCCTGCAGGTACCTCTCTGAGCACGTGCTCCTAAACCCTTTGCACCTCTTTTCCCAGCCCTTCACACCCATCACCAGGCCAAGCCCCTGGGCAGTGTGTCTCATCCCCCATCCCTCCCCATCCCCTTACGGCACACAGGGCAGATTGGCCAGCCTCCCCCCACTGCCCTTTGCCTTGACTCTTCCTTCTTCCCGCTTATGCCTCCCCGCTGTTTTACTCTCCCAAATCTGACCCAGGAATTCTGTAACATTCCTCCTCAAGACCAGGAGAAAGGCCTGGAGCTTGAGAGCGGTCTGGAGAGTGGGAGCCTGGGGGAAAGGGAGAGATAGGCAAGGTATAAAGAGAATTGGTTTGGCCTGTAAAAGAAAGGCTGCTGGGCGGGTTGCCGGGGAGACCTTATGGAAGAGGATCTTTCTTGATGAATTTGAGTAATTGACTCACTGGGGTGGGGGTGGGGCAAATCCAATAGCTGGAGGGGAATGTGTCTGGATGGACATGAGGAAATTACTGTCAGGGCAAGCTGCTGGAGAAGCTGGGGGTGTTTTGGACTTAAGGATGGAAGGCTGTTTAAAAAAAAAATAGGTCAGGCCCTGGCAGGGCACTCAGTGGTTAGAGTGCAGGCCTGCTGGAGAGTCATGGGTTCAATTCCTAGTCAAGGGCACATACCTGGGTTCTGCATCCCTGGTCCCCATCATATCCTGTGTGGGAGGAAACCAATCGATGTGCTTATGTCACATCAATGTTTCTCTCTCCCCCTCTCCCATCCCTTCCACTCTCTCTCAGTCAGGGTGAGTATGGGAGGCAACCAATTGATGTTTTTCTCTCACATTGATGTTTCTCCCTCTCTCTCTTTCTCTCTCTCTAAATTAATATCCTCACTCCTTGGGTGAGGATTAAAAAACAACAACATACCTGACCGGTTTGGCTCAGTGGATAGAGCATCGGCCTGCAGACTGAAGGGTCCCGGGTTCGATTCCAGTCAAGGGCATGTACCTCAGTTGCGGGCACATCCCCAGTCGGGGGTGTGCAGGAGGCAGCTGATCGATGTTTCTCTCTCATCGATGTTTCTAACTCTCTATCCCTCTCCCTTCCTCTCTGTAAAAAAAATTAACAAAAACAAAACAAAACAAAAACACAGGTCAGGCTTTTGCCCTGGAATCAAGGGCACTCTTTAAAAAACAACACACATTTCTGAGTCTCAGATAGGCCAGGACTGATACTGGGAGTATTAACAATCATCTTAGCTTCTTCCTCAACACGTCCCTGGAAAGTGCATTCCCAATTCACAGATCAGGAAACGAAGGCTCATAAGGATTAGACAAAGTGCAGAGCCAAGACTTGAATGCTGGTGTCAGATGATCTGATGCCACATCCGTGACCCTGCGCGGCCCACACCTGTCTCGGATGGGCCTGCTTCCCCTGGGGACTGTCATGTCTTCCTGTTCTCGAGATGCTCTGGTCTCGCCTCCACTTCCTCACACCCCCCACCCAGAGCCCTGACCCTGTGCTTCTCCCCATCAGGTGTGACCCAGGCTGGGAGGGGCCGCACTGTGAGCGCTGTGTGAGGATGCCTGGCTGCCAGCACGGTTCCTGCCACCAGCCCTGGCAGTGCATCTGTCATGGTGGCTGGGCGGGCAAGTTCTGTGACAAAGGTAGGGGAGTAGGGCGGGCGGCTGTTGGTCTGGAGACCCCAGTGTCTTGGGAGAACATCCACGCCTATTTATTGTGTCCAGCCCCCAAACACAGCATTTGATCATTTTAGGCTTCATACCTATCTGCTGTCTGAACTGGCCCTTAACCTAACCCCGGGAGATAGGCAAGGCAGCTGTGGCAAATGGTACTCATTTTACAGATGAGTAAATTGAGACTCATAGATGAGCTATAACTTGCTTGAAGTCACTGAGACAGATTGACATTGCCAGGGCTAGGAGCCTCCTGATTCCGAATTCAGTGTTGTTTGCCCACCATACATACCAGCTGGGGTGGGGGTGGGGGTTGCAGTATGAGCTGCACCCACAGAGCCTTAGATGGGGCCTGGGCAGGTCTGGGTGCCAGATGTAAGGGGCTATCCCAGAACCTTCTCTGTCTCTATAGATGAGCACATCTGTACCACGCAGTCCCCCTGCCGGAATGGAGGCCAGTGCGTATATGATGGGGGTGGCGAGTACCACTGTGTGTGCCTACCGGGCTTCCACGGACGGGACTGTGAGCGCAAGACTGGACCCTGTGAGCAGGCAGGGTGAGTATGACCCCTTGGGGTGAGTTCAAGGTTAGGTGAGAACTGGTGACGGAAGGAGGCAGGACTGTTGGGAGGCTGGTCATGAAGTAACAGGGCTGAAGGTCAGAAGCCCCACTGGGGGCACCGGAGGATAAAACCCCAGCTTGTCAGTGTCCGTAGTTCCGGGTTTCTCAGCTTTTTTATACCATCTGGGCCATTTCTTCAACAAAAATCTACAGGAACTGGAGATATAACAGATCAATGTGTGATTGCTCTGGCTGTTGGTGGGAGGGAGGGGTTGAAGACCTAGGACTCCCCTCATCCTCCCAGGAAAGCTGCCCCTGTGGCCCCTCAGGATGTTCTAACAGCAGCCTCAGCCTCATGGGCCTGTAGGGCGGGGCCTGCCCTCATTTCTGTGTCAGGCCTAAGAGCCTACCAAGGTAAAAATACACTTGCTTTGAGCCTTGCCTCTGGGCCAGGCCCCATGCTAACTGCTTGGTGTTGGGTTATCTCATTTAACCCTCCACAATGTGGAAGCTGGATGCTACTTCCATTCCCATTTTTAAAAGGAGATATTGGAGGCTCGGAATGTGACTCAAGGTGACCTTGCTGGGAAGGGGGTGGGCGGCAGTGGTCAGGATGCTGACCTAGGCTACCCTGCAGGTGTGAGTCTGTATCAAAGCCCTCTCCCACCTCCACCCCAGCTCCCCGTGCCAGAATGGCGGCCAGTGCCAGGACGACCAGGGCTTTGCCCTCAACTTCACGTGCCGCTGCTTGGCAGGCTTTGTGGGCGCCCACTGTGAGGTGAATGTGGACGACTGTCTGATGCGGCCGTGTGCTAACGGCGCCACCTGTCTGGATGGCATAAACCGCTTCTCCTGCCTCTGCCCGGAGGGCTTTGCTGGACGCTTTTGCACCATCAACCTGGATGACTGTGCCAGCCGCCCATGCCAGAGAGGGGCCCGCTGTCGGGACCGGGTCCATGACTTCGACTGTCTCTGTCCCAGCGGCTATGGCGGCAAGACTTGTGAGCTCGTCTTACCTGGCCCAGCCCCTGCCACCCTGGCAGACATGCCCCTGGGGCCCACCTCGGCTATGGTGGTCCCTGCCACGGGGCCTGTCCCCCACAGCGCAGGGGCTGGCCTGCTGCGCATCTCGGTGAAGGAGGTGGTGCGTAGGCAAGAGGCCAGGCTGGGCGAGTCTAGCCTGGTGGCCGTGGTGGTGTTCGGGGCCCTCACTGCCACCCTGGTCCTGTCCACGGTGTTGCTGACCCTGAGGGCCTGGCGCCGGGGCGTCTGTCCCCCTGGACCCTGTTGCTACTCTGGACCGCACTATGCCCCGGCACGCCAGGACCAAGAATGTCAGGTCAGCATGCTGCCTGCAGGGCTCCCCCTGCCACCTGACCTGCCCCCCGAGCCTGGAAAGACCACGGCACTGTGATGGCGGTGGGGCTTCTGTGCCGCCTCCACCTCCTCTGTCCTTCAGACTGGAATGGTCCTCACTTGCCACCCCTCAGTGGCTTCACACAAGAAATATTATTTTTTTAATACACAGAATGTAAGATGGGAATCTTATTCAATAAAACTATGAAGTCATAAGTGGACTCCTTTTCCAGAAAAACCTGCCTGGCATCACTGACGAGGGCTGAGCAGAGGCCTGTTTCTGGGGAACCCTTGGGGCTTTGCCTTAAGCCTGGTTCTCAGAGAGGAGCCCATGACACCTCCCCCCGGGAGAGTGCCAGTGAGGTAGAGCCATGGAGAATGTAAACAAACAGCTCTGCGGCCACCCAGCAGAGGGCGAGATGGGGGTCACCCAGAGGGTGGGGTCCTCAGGGGGAGGAGTGGGCTCCCTGCTGGCTGCTCTGCAGCAGCTGCTGGAACAGGGAGTGAGGCTGGGTGCGCAGGACGGCAGGGGAATCCAGCTCCACGACCCTCCCAGCTTGCAGCACCAGCACCCGATCAGAGTTCAGGATGGTGTTGAGCCTGTGTGAGAGGAGCTGGTCAGTGGAGGATGGAGGGCAGTACCGTGAAGCAGCCATCGCCAACGGTGGTCCGTGAGGTCCGAAAGGTTGGCGACCGCTGCCCTAAAGCAGGAAGCTGACCCACATTCCCTCTCCTCCCCTAGACAGCACAGTTCTGCCCCAGGCTTTACCCCGGCTCTGTGCTGGGGACCACAGATGCCTTCAGACAATGTGCTATGAGAATGAGGAGCTGAGGTTCATGGAAGTTTGGACTCTATAGGGCTCTAGCCCCTGGCGTCCCTGACACTATGTCCCCTGATTGGAGTCTCATGCCGGATGCTTGCACACCTGTGGGCAATGGTTAGCACTGTCTTGTTGGCGAAGCGTTTGCAGATGGTCTGCTGGAGCAGCTGGTCTGTTTTCTGGTCCACACTTGCCGTGGCCTCATCAATGCACAGGATCTGGACCATGTGGAGGGCGGGCAGGAGGACAGAGAAGAGGGTTGGCCTTGGCTCCTGCCCAAGCACCAGCCCCCGCCTTCCGGCGGGGCCCAGCCCACAGCTCCCCACCTCCAGCTCTAAAAGAAAAACTAACCTGGTCCTCCCTACTCACTCCCTCACCCCTCACATGCCCCTGCCTTCTTCCCGGCCCTCTCGAATGTCTCCTCCTCTCAGCTTACCTTGGCATCTGTGAGGAGAGCCCTGGCCAGACACAGCAGCTGCCTCTGCCCCAGTGATAAGCTCCGGCCCCCCTCGCCCAGCTCACCATCCAGACCACCTGCAAGGCACAGCATCTTCACCCCTGGGTCCTAGGTCTCTCTCTGCCCCCTCCCTGCTCCCTCCTCATCCACCCTGCAGGCTCGGGCCTGGGACTCACCCATGGACCCGATCACCTCACTCAGGTGGCACTGCTCCAGAGCCTGCCACAGGGCCCTGTCCTCATACAGGCCCCGGGGGTCCAGGTTCTCCCGAACAGTCCCACTGAACAAGAAGGGCTCCTGGGGGATGATCGCCAGCTGGGACCTGGGGGACAAGGAGGGACATGGGTCTAGGCTGGAGATGTGGTCACTTCTGCCCCCAGCACAGGTTTTAGCTATAGGTCTACACCTCCAGAGAAGCTTGGGGAGGAGCCCTGAACATAACCCTCACTCAGCTCCCCCGCTGCTCAGCGTGTTCCCAGAACTGTGCAGGTGCCACAAGGGACACGAGAGAAACCAAAGGCCCACACTCTGCCCTTCAGGAGCTTCCATCTCACTAAGCTACAAAACAAAAGTGGGGTAGCAGTGTGGCACTGACTCCAGCCGTCACTGCGACAGCCGTGGTGGCGAGGAATGAGTAGAGAGTCTGAATGGTGGGGAGGGGATGCGTCAAGATTGGAGGGCCTGGAATTGGGTCCTGAGGAGCCATAGGGTGGAGCTGTAATGCAAGGCCACCACAAGTTAGAAGAGAAGGCAGGAAAGGCAGGGCCAGGGCCTGGTATCAATAATAGGCTTTGGAACAGAGCTCCCCTACCTTTTCCGCATCAGAGAAAATGACACTAGGCTAACCTGGGGCTGGTGGGGGGAGTTGTTTAGCACCAGATGTGGCCTCTTGTTGCCAGGGGCAACTGGCCCAGGCCTCGAGTGCCCTGAGCATCACCTGCCAAGCCTGAGGGCCGAGAGGATGACTACCTTGGGCACAGCACCGGGAGGCGCTGATTCAGGACGCAGTGACCACTGATCTAGAGTGCAAGGTGTATGCTGGGAAGTACAAGAAAGATGAAGCTGGAAAGGTGGGCCTGGGTCAGATTAAAGTCCTGAGACCACAGCTACATCCCTGGACCTGAGGAGAGCAAACATTGGGGCTCGCCATCCTCGCCTGCTGTCCTAGCTGCCTTCTCCCCACCATCGGCCCTGCTGCCCCGAGTCTAGGGAAGGCCTTTCGGCTAGGCTTCCTCTATGTGCCAGTAGTCTGGCTCTCCTCTCCGCGCTCCCTCAGACCTGAGCTCGGCCAGCGCCAGCTGGCTGGTGTCCACTCCGTCCAGGAGCACTCGCCCCGAACTGGGCTCCAGCAGCCGGAAGAGCACGGACAGCAGGGACGACTTTCCAGAGCCCGTGCGGCCCACGATGCCCAGCTTCTCTCCGGGCTGCACGCAGAAGGTCACCCCGTCCAGGGCCTTTGGCAGCCCTGGCCGGTACACCAACACCACATCCTGGAACTCCACGCTCCCCTGCGTCAGCCAGCCAGTGCCTAGCTGGTGGGGTTCGTGGGTGGGAGGTGGAGGAGACGGGTGAGACGGGGAGACATGGGGAGAAGGGGGGTTGGAGCGTGGAAGGAAGGGGAATAAGGAGAAAGGGATGGTGTGAGAGGGAGTTGGGGGAAATGAGGACACGTGAAGGAGAGATGGGAGAACAGACACAAGATGAGGGACACAGTGAAGGAAGGGGAGATCGTGCGGGGACATTGGAGGAGCTGAGAAAGATGGCGAGGAGTGAAAGGAAAGGGACCTGGGGAATGACCGGGGCTGTTGGGAGGGTCCTTCAGGGTTCCAGTGCCCAGGCCTGGGGCACAGGTGCAGCCTACCTGCCCCGGCTGGCCCTGGGGCTCCTGGGGTAGGTCGCAGGCATACTCCTCCAGCCGCTCGACGCTCACCAGCATGGTTTCCGTCTGCGTGAAGCTGCTCACCAGGCCCGAGAGCAGCCCCGTCAGGGACAGGGCATACGACAGAGACAGGCCCACCAGTCCTGGCGGGAGAGGACACCAGGCACCAGGGGAGGCTTGGTGAGGAGGACTGAGGCCGAACGGGAGAATCTCAAGCTGCGGACTGCGGGCATTGAAAGGAGGCCGCAGAGAAGCAGGAAGATGCCAGCAGCAGACCCAGGGCCACAGGACGCTAGATGCCAGGCAGTGGAGTGGGTCCGCAGAGGCTCTGAGGGAGGACGGGGGGGGGCGCCTGGCAGAGTGTGGGGACGGGGGGAGCAGGGCAGGGGCAGAGATCAGAAGACTGGTTCTAGTACCAGATCCAGCATCACCTGGGAAAGTCACTTCTTGAGACTCAGTGTCCTCAACTCTAAAATAAGGGGCAGGAGAATTAGGACACATACTCACAGGGACCTGAGTGGCAGGTGAAAATGCTGGGGGGCGGTGCAGGGAGAGGGAAGGTGGGGGAAATGGGGCAGGAGATGGGGGTCGCATGCTTCTGAGGTGAGCGAAGGCTCCTGGGTGGTACCTGGGTTGGCGAGGCCCTGCTGGTGCTGCACCAGGGCGATGCCGGCGATGGCACTGACCACTGCGGCCCCCATGAGCTGTAGCCGGATGTCCAGCCACTGCATGGTGGCACTGGAAGCAAACTGGCACCTCTGGTTTAGCTCCAGGAGCCTCTGGTTCTTCTCCTCAAACCTGGGGGAGGTCGGGGGGGGGGGGGCAAGGCCACCCACGGTTGCAATCACTTGCCCAGACTCCCCCACAGAACGCCTTCTTCTTGGAGCTGACCAGCACCCCCACAGGCCTCCCTGAGGGTACGGAGGGGTCAGTGCGTTCTGTCACAGGGGTCTGCTCTGCCCCACCATCTCTTTCTTCTGTCTCTTTCCTCTTTCCCGTAGTGCCTTCACCCACCCTTCCCTTCTCAGGAGGCCTGAAGCCACTCTCTCCCATGTGCTTCTCTTCTTAAGAGGGATCCTCTGCCCCCTCCCCCCCAGCACCTCACACCCTTGCTCTGGTTGGGAGAGGCAGACTCCACACACCTGTCAGTGGCCCCGCAGGCCCGGAGCACTGGGAGGCCGGCCAAGGTGTCGGCCAGGTGGGTGTAGAGTGGAGACAGGGTGAGGCTGCCCAGTCGCCGCAGCTCCCGCGAGGAAGCCCTGTAGTGGCGCTGCACGCGGTAGTAGATGATGCTCAAAGGCGGCAGCAGCAGCAGCAGCCAGGGCAGGCCGGCGCCCAGCACAGCCAGGAGGCCCAGCAGGCCTGCCGCGTTGGCCAGGAGGATGTTGAGGATGAAGGGCAGGCTGTCGTCCACACAGGCCACGTCAGAGGAGAAGCGGTTTAGGACCCGGCCCATAGGCGTGGAGTCGAAGAAGGTGATGGGTGCCTGGGAGAAGGGATGTGGTTGGGCAAGGGCAGGGTCTGGCACAAAAGGGGTTGGGGGCCACCCTGGGGGTGGTGGGGTGCGGAAGGTCCAAGGTAGAGAATTGGAAGGAAGTAAAGTGTCTCCAGAGTTTGGGAGCAGAAAGGAGGAACAGGTGGGGCCAGGAGGAAGACTATCGCAGGGTAGGAAGGATAGAGACGGTCCCTCTGGCCAGTGGTGACCCTGAAAGGCCATGCTGGCCACTCTTGTACCCTGTGCTAGACATGCCTACGCCCCTCTCCAGAACATGGGGACTTCAGGCCGTGAGTGAGCTTCCGTTAGATGTCAGGAGGAACATCCTGATCGCCAGGCTGGACAGAGCGGTGAGGGCAGGTTTCCAAGTCAGTGCTGTCTCATGGTAGCATTCAGGCTCTGGAGTCAGGCTGCGGCGACTGGGATTCCAGCTCTGCCACTTAGATGTGAAACCCCTCAATCTCTTAAAGGCCCCGTTCCTCATTTCAAAGACGGGGAATAATAGCCCAGCCGGGTCGCTCAGTTGCTTAGAGCATTATCTAAATACGCCAAGGATGTC